TTAACTCTTAAAGACAGGATACAAAGATATGATGACAACGTTGAGAATGGCTTCCAAAAACCTGTTATTAAGTTGATTTATGTAATTTAAGGAACACGAGGATGATAATGAGCCAAGCTTATTTTTAGGTAGTTTTCTTCTTCTTCTTCTTCTTCTTCTTTCCTCCACCTTTTATCCAAAATTCAAGCTTGACAATCACATTGCTTCCCAAAATGAAATCTTGACTAAAGAAAGACAAGCAAGATACTGCACTATTCCACACAAGTGGTTCAAATATCTCCTTAATCGCGAGCAGTCATGCCTGGGCAATTTTTCCAAGGCCCTGGACTTCTATCTATTTTCTTCGCTGAATAGGAAGGGGCCTAAATCAAACCTGCTTCCTCATAATCACGGATCACGGTACTTGCCGTAATCAAATTTTGGATCCCTAATTTTTTTTAAAAATCCTTGGGATATTAAATGATTAGAGACTGATTTGATTGGACAAGAGAAGGAAAAAGAAGTGATGTCGTGTTGAATATTACTGTGGATTACCTTCCACCTCTCAATAGCCTTCGAATTTCGCCGTTTTACAGCTAAAGTCACAAACCGTAAACTTTTTTTATATATATATCAAGGCTAAAAACAGACTTTCTTTGCCTCCAAGATTTTAAAATATGCCAAAAAAAATGCAGCCTTCACTCTACTGCTCCAAGAAACACGTTGAAGCAAAGCTAGAGGTTGTTGTAGGAGGTCCTGAGCAATAACAAGCTGGAGGTTTTTGTCCTCTCTTTAGCCACACCACAAGACAGAGAAGTAATGTCCTTGGTGGAGATCAATGGTGGAGAAAAAATGGAGAAATATCAATGATTGAGATTTTTTTGGTTTAGGGACCATTGAAGATTCTCTCCTTAATTTTCTATAAAAAGAAAGAGAATTACAGAAGAAAATGGCCTCTGTTACGCTCTAAAAACATAGAAATTGCTCCTCTTTTAGCCAAAAAAGCAGTGCAAAAACCCTCACCCACCAGCAACAGCCATTCATCCCCTTCCCAGTTACCACTGCCACCATTCCACCTTTACTTCCTCTAGCTTTAATAGAGATGTCCATGCATGTCACCTTCTATTCACGACCAAACCATTTCCCTACCATTTTTGCCTTCAGTAGCAACTTCATACTCCCACTAAAAACACCTCATTAAACAGCCATCTTCATCTTCCCACCCGGAGCCTCCATATCTCCAACCCATTAGACCAACAAAACCAACGAACTCCTCAGCTATGGCAGCCCCAACAAACAACAAACCGTGACCTATAAACCTCTCATCTCCTCCTTCCAAACGCCCAAGACAGTCTTCCTCAGTGAGGTTCTTCCTCCCGTGTAGCGTCAGTAACGCTCAGCAACAGTAGCAAACCTCAACTCCAGCAGCGTCTCCTCACTCCAACACCTGCACCGTGACCTTTTTTTTCACACAGCAGCATAGCCACTCACCGCCAACTTTTCCTTCTCCAGTGACAGGGAGCACCACAGCAACGAACACAGCTGCACCGTGGACCACCAGCACCACAGCAATGAACACAGCTGCACCGTGGACGACCATCAACTCTGTCGTGAACCATACCCCCACCACCGTGAACTGAAATCACTGACGAGCACCACCACCAGTGACTCCCTCAGACCAAGTAACCCCGCTTACTCTTCCTTCTTTCCTTAATAAGTTTTGTTGCACTCAGGATGTGAATTAATTCACATCCTGCTGTTGTTAGCTTTTGCCAGCGTGAATGGGGCGGGGCCCTCAGTCCAGCCCACCTTTATATATATATAAAGAAAAGGAGGAAAAGATGTTGGTGGATCATTTTACAGCCCAACCCAGTGGTCTTGGGTTTCGGGCCTAATCAGCTAAGGGTATATTTAGAAAACACATTCTTCCGTCTTTCCCTTAGTTTTTAATTAGTTTTCACTTTAGCACTTAGCCCTACACAGCCTTAAAAAATAAAATAAAAAAATATTATTTTTTTTATGACAGGATTAAGTCTCTCAAAAAAATAAGAATCATATATTGTTAAAAAAAATACATAAAAATACATGATAATTAAAATCAGTTAAAAAAATACATAAAAATACATGATAATTTACATTTATACACAAACACACACACATGAAAAAACACAAGAAAAATAAAAAAAAAATATTTGCATGTATTTTTAGATTTAATAACTAATTTATTGAATCGAAGAGAACTTGATTAATATTTTAATAATCTTTAAAAATTTTAATTATGAGAATTAATAGTTAATATTTTGATATAAATACTAAATCTCCAAATAAATTGTTATTTAAAAAATAAAAAATTTACTAAAAAATTTCAAAATTATTTCGGATATTCATCAATTTTAATTGAAAATATTTTTCATCATAATATATGAGTTGTGAAAAACCTTTTTACCTTCCTTGATAAGTAAACTCTATAAAGACACTTACATAACTTTTTTTCACAAAAATTTATTTAAGTATAAAAGCTTATAATAAATTCAAAATATTATATTTATTTATAAATATAAATTTTTATTCTAAACCATATATACACTATCGGTTAAAAACCTATAAATATATTTAAATTACATTCAAATCATACAATTTATGGCTAGGAGTAATAATCCTTTCTCTAGCAACAACCAATTATTTACTTTATAATTTCAAATAATATCAGTTTACTCAAATATTCTAGTAACTTTCAATCAACCAAACAACCAGATGAGAATTCATTGATTCCAACACCGTGAAAGCACGTATGCTAATACTCGCCTTTGAATTGCAGTGTTGATCAAGTGGTTGACTGAATTAGGAACGTTCTACCAATGTGCTTACATGAAGGCTATCCATTCATAAAAGCAGCCTATCACTGTTAGCTTGTAAATTTCTAGTCGAATTGCAAATTTCCAGTTGGCCCTACGCTTTTGGCTTGTTAACTATCAACGACTATAGATGGAAGTCAAGCAACCAACCCAAGTCATCAACAGAGGTCAATCCTAGCTAATTAAGAAGTGGAAAAGGGAACCTTTCACTGAAATTTAAAGTTGCTTGCTCCAGAATCAAACAACTAAGTCTTGGAAGTTTGTTCCTTTCACGTTGTTGAAAATCCACAAACATCGATCTTTTCAACAGAATAGATTTGAGCACGCACGCAAAATTTAAATTATAAATAAAATATTTCAACAATCTAGTGTTCATCAATGGTTCTCGCTGCTCTAGAAACCATGACTGGTATGTTATTTTTAGATGTGGGTGAATCTTTTTTCTTATTTTCTTTAGGGGGGATCGAACCATTTCGATTTCCCACCAAACTGACGAACTGTTCTTATAGCAATTGGTTTTATGAAGTTTTCTTCTGGGCAAAACAAATGTTATGGCTGCTTCCTCTTCTAATGTTAAACCAATTAAATGAAGAAGAAAGGAGCACAGGAGAAACAGAAACGAAGAAAGAAACAGAACAGTGGTGAGGTGTTATTGGAGGTATAACATCACATTTGATAAATTCTGGTCATCATCATCATCATCATCAACAAGAAGTATATTCAGGTTTTCACATTGGAATTCAACGGAGTGAAGAATGGATTCAATCTGATATTTTAGAAATTCTTAGTTGCCCATCAGCCATTGATCAACATTTGTTCACGACTGAGACATTTTAGTTGATTTGGAAGCAAAACTACCTTGGCTCGGAAATTTTTTATTCCTTTCATACGGTTCTCCTCATTGCTTTTCTTGACCTTCACTTTCATCAGTGGGAAAGAAAATAACATGGGCAACGTGTTCATAAAGACTAACTGTATGCTTTATTGTTAAAAATGAAGAAAGTTCCCACGAAGACTTTAGACCTAGGAAACTTCATGCGATCTAAATCTTCAATTTCCAAAACTCATCCCTTTTTTTTGTTTTTGTTTTCTTTTTCACCTCAAATAGAATAGTTAAACAGTTAGTTGGATAGCTTCCTCTAATGGATAACTAATTTGCATAAAGTGGCGCAGATTTTCTTGTTAAACTCCATAGTGTCACACAAGTTATTTATTGTTCAATAATCGATTATTAACGAGATAATTAAAAGAAAAAAAATTGTTTGAATTTCGCCGCATGCACTTCCTATCCCTCGTGGAAGTATGATTATGTTCGGGAATGTATCTAGGATATAAAAAAAGTTATCTATTGAATTATTTTTTTAGGAATTTAAAAAAATTAAAAATATGATGAAATTGATTTTGATAGAAGAATTTGCCATAATTAAATTACATGAATTACCTAACAAGGTTTTTTATAAACCAATGAAACATGGTTAAGTCTAATAAGATACTAAATGGCATAAAGTGATCGACTTAACAAAAAGATCCAAGACTTTAATAGATTCATTGAATTGTACTCAAATTTATTTAAAAAGTTTCAAATATCTAACTTTATAAGATAACGACTTGTTATAACAAATCAGTGCTTGAAAATCTTTCAAATGAGACCTAGAATGTGTTATTTAGGCTCCTTTGATTTTTATATTTTTTAAATTTCTTTATTTATTTAGGATTTTTTATCATATCATGGTTAGAACATTTATTTAGATTGGTTTTTTAGATTCACAAACCCCTTGAGAAATAAAATAATTGAATGTAAAATATGTAATAATAAAATTTAAAATTAAAATTTTAAAGTGCTGATTTTATTTAATAAAATTCTATATCATTTACGCTTCTTGTTTTTCGTATACGTCGGAAAACAGTAAAGTTGAAGAGAGAGAAATTAACCGTTGACAAAGATCGGTCACGTTATGTAATTGAATCATTAAAATGTTGATCGGAAAAAGGTATCCATAGATAAATGTTGCTTCTCGTCCGCAACATCTCCCGATGAAAGTGCTCGTGACTCGCATTTGCGTAAGCGTACCTGCGTGTATAGTTGCTTTTGTTCGAAAAATAAAGAGGTTTTATATATATATATATATATAATTTTGCTTTCAGCAAATTTTTTAGGCATATTTGTCCACGTCAAAAGTACTGAAACTCCATTTGAGATTAAAAAAAAAAAAATCGTACTATTCACAACAAAGAGTCCCATTCTCTGTGACTACAGACCTCCACCAACACAGCAAACCCAAACTAACTGACCAATAACTGCTCACCAAGTGGCATTATATGGTGTGCAACCTGAAACACATTAGATCCCCTCTCCCTTTCCAGCTCATCTCCGTTAGCCACCAAGATTCTCCTCGTCTTAGCCGAGCCACTATCCACAGCCGGCAAACCCGTCTCCGGCTCTCGACGCTTAGTCGTGACCCTAACTGGGTCCGGCTCATTGGACCCAATCTTATGTGGAAAATTAAGCAAAGCTTTCGAGCCACGCATTCTATAAGCCGCCCTATCATAAGCCAAACCCGCTTCCTCCGCGGTCTCGTAAGTCCCAAGCCACACTCTGGCACCATTCTTAGCCGGGTCCCTAATCTCAGCCGCAAACTTCCCCCAGGGTCTTTGCCTCACTCCTCTATAATGTCTCCCCTTAGCCACCACCTTCTTAGAAACAGCAGCTTCATTCAATCCAGCTTCTTGAACCAGTTTCCTGGGCTCGGCTTCCGGCTCCAGCTCACATCCCGGCTCGGCCTTAACGACACCTGTTGTTCTGGTTATTGTTGTTGTTGCAGTGGTAGCAGTGGGTGAAGTTAAGTCTAACGGTGACCATCCAAAACGAACAGCATCTCTGAGGGAATTGTAAATGACCATATCTTCAGAATCATCCACTTTTAATGGCAAGTCACCCCATGTCTCGGTTAGGCAAGAAATGAGAGAACTAAAGCTTGGACTTCTATGCTGACGATGATGAGACAGAGCACTAAACTCGTACAATGAGGTAACCTCGTTCATTTCTGTTTCTCTTTTGTGACAATCGAATTGAGGTAGAAGGTGTATGATTAATTTGTTGTGTTAGTTTCTGCAAGCGAGAGAGAATTGCGGTTGTTTTGCTAGAGGAGAGGAGAAGGGATGAAAGAAATCTTAGAATCCAATTTAGAAGAAGATTGGGGATTTGATAAGGGGGCGGTATATATATGTAGTCGGAGACGGAGGGGGAGGGTGAGGGGGGTGAATGGCAAGTTGGTGGTGATATTTTGTCGTCTTTATTTTAATTATTCTATTGCTAGTGCCAATGTGCACTTAATTGCCTTTTTTTAAAAAAAAAATTTGTGTGTGTTTCGATGAAATTTCAATCCACAAGTGGGCAAATGGAGAGGGGTGGTTCATGGTTGTCCCTTTGTTGATAATGCGGGGGGGTGATGCCATTATCTCACGTCATCCATTCGCCATAACCCATGCTCGAGGGCATCTAGAAAAAGAATTTTTGTGTTTCACATTTGGCTGAGGTGGAGTGGCTATGTCCAAGTAAAAGGTTCAAACCGGTAAGAACAGGGTTGTTTCTAAGCAATGAAGTATGAAGAACTGGAGATATAATTCCAAATTAACTCATGATTATTGGGGCAATTCCTCGAGGATTATGGGGGCAGTTCCATATTAACTCGTAATTATTGCTAGTTGATATTGCAGGGTGAATGGAATTGACCGCAGTGCACAAGTAGGAGCGTTATCATACCATTTGGCTTTAAATATCGTTCCGTACAAATGGCAGCAACTTGATTCATCTAAAAGAATGTACATCGCAAAAGGGAATGGACAAAGCGTGATAGGGACGTAGTGTAGGTACATTAGCCCTAGCCATGATTCGTGACTTCCCGAGGATAAGAGCTCCGAAGTCAATCTTAATAGGACCAACAACCACTATAGATTGCTGTACAATGTTAACATCCAAAATGGAAAACCTTGTCCCACGTGTTTGGCTTTAGAAAACCTTGCTTTATTCAAGTATTTCTTCTTCTTCTTCTTCCTTCTCTTCTACGAGAACATCATATGGTATTGTTTTTAAAATAAGAAAAAAAAATACAACAAATATCTATAAAAAAATCATGATTCTATGATTTTTACACGATCAGAGAAAAGGATATTAATCCAAGAAGATCATTTAAAGATTATAATAAAAAATTAATAAATATTTATTCCCATTGGATATCTATGAAGAGTATTTTTTTATGAATGAATTGCGTGTTAGTTTATATATAATAATTCACCAAATAATTTTAAATATTGCCATGAGAAGTATAATCTTGTTAAAAAAATACTATGGAACAATTGGATAAATTTTAAAATCTTATTTTAATTATTTTAGTTATAGTGAATTTCAATCCAAACAAAAAAAACAACTAAAAAAACTAAGAAATCATTTAAAAAGAAGTTACGCAATTGGGCTCGAGGGAATAGACCCTCATATTTGGGCTAAAATAAAAAGTCATAGCGTGTTTGGCTTTATCCTTCTTTTTAAAACTAGGGATGGCAAGTTTTTTTTAATAAAACAAACAACACGGCATCCATCAAAGTAGGTAATGTGTCCTTCAATGGTGTAGTTTACGACCACCTCTAATATCTAGACAGTTAGGTTTCGAATTTCAGGATCTCAGCCTATTTTCACCTAAAATTACCTCTAGAATATCCTAAAAACATTAATAAATTTACTTTCTTATCCCAAAACGACCCATGTCACTTTAAAAATAAAAAATCGAACTAAACAAAAACCTTAATAAATTTATTTTCCTTATCCCAAAAACACCCCATATCACTTTAAAATTAAAAAATTAAACTAAATCCAAAAGCTTTAACGTATCTTGATTTTATTTTACTGACATATTTGAGACAAAAAATCGTCTTAATTGAACATACAAGGTTGTTATATTTTATTTTATTTTCAAAATATGGTTGACCAGATTTTTCTCTCTCCTCTTTCTTTTTCCATGACTTTCCCTCTCTTATTGCAACATGCAAGATTTAAATCGTGAAAAGAAATTGAAGTTTTGGATCAAAAGCTAAAATCTTGAAATAGCAGGGGCTAGAGATATAAAAAAATCCAGTTTTTAGGTAACAAACTGAATATTTTCATGCCATTTGGATAGTAAAAACTAAAAAGGGCTCTGTTTTTTTAAGGTATTAATTTTGATCTTTATTTTTTAAATTTCTCTAACTATAATCTAAAATTTGATTTGATCATATTAATCTTTAATTTAATGTTAAAATGTCCTTGGACACATAACACATACGAAAGCATGCAATATGAAACAAAATTCAATAAATAAAGGCATCGTTATACCACTCTTAAGGATGAAATTGTGAGGAAAGAAAATTCAATGACCGAATTGAAAAAAATGGGATTTAAAAGGGAAAAAATGGCTATAAACAATAACATGATCAAATTTAGTTTACTAGCAGTAACGACCTGCAATCATTTAGCCTATATTATTTGGCAAAGAGGTTGGTGGCGATGGCACTGGTCCGAGTTTTTGGAGTTATGAGATTTCAGGAGTGTGGAAGCTTTTGAATTGGTGAGAAAATCGAGAATGTTTGTTTAGAAGCACGGAGTAGTAAAAGTTTCTTACACGCATAAATTATACACTATGCGACTGTGATGCTATAAAGTTCTTTTGCAAAAAAAAAAAAAAAAAAAAACAAAATATCAGTAATAAATGTTTCTAGAGGTGCACACGTATATATTATAATTATAAAAGAAACTAAAATATAAGGCATTTTTCTACAGTGTTTTGTACTGTTCATCAAGATATAAAATATTGTAAATTGCACTGTAGTGAATACTGCAATTATAACTAGTCATGTGACATGAAAAGTTCAAATTGGTCCTTGAAGTTTTTTTTATTTTTTTATTCATGTGATTCTTATAGTTTTAGGTGTTTATGTTTCAGTTCTAAACATTCTTGAATATTGAATGAAAAAAAAGAAAGTTGTCAAGAAATAAAAAAAAAAAAAAAGACAAAAAGATTTTGAGGGACCGTATTTCATCCATAATAAAGGTAGATTTTAGTGTCCACAGCCTCATTTTGAAAAGGAAAGTTTAATAAAGATGATTTTGTTTTTTAATTGCGCCGGAAAAAAGTAGATTAGGATCTAAGCTCTTTTTTTTTCATTCATTTTGATTTCTAGTTTTTAATACTAATTAGATAGTGTTATGGAAATAAAAACATAATCGTTGATTTTCATATGATGTTTTAGAGTGGTTTTCGATAAAAATAAATTTAAGTAGGTTTTAGAGATCTGGAAATTTTAACCTTGTTTTTCTAGTCATCAAAATATATTTTAAATAATAACATATTATTTATCTAGGTTAATGACATGATATTCTTTTATTTTTTTCAAAAAAAAAACCCGACATCAACAAATTATTATTTATCTATTTTCTTTTAAAAAAAAAACAAAATTAGACAAACAAGCCTATTCATACAAGCCTATGCACACATCAATCTTTCCTTATAGACGGTGCGCAGGCCTGTCATGGCAAGCCTGGTCGTACCTCGGCTATCCTTTGATAATCAAGCATGTTTGGCTTCATTTTTTTATTCATCATCTTTATTTTTAATTAATTATCTTATTTAAAAAAATTAAAAAAATCACTTTAAGTTGAATTTCTAAGATAATATTTACAAATTTATCCTATTATTCCATGATTTTTAAATAAAATTAGAGCTTCTATGGTATATTTAAATGATTGAGATTTTTATGAATATTTATTAATTGTCCTAATGTTTTATTCAAAAAACCACGTTATTGATGATTAAAAAAAAAGCCATGGTTTTGTCAAAACAAAAAATAAATACATGAATACATAAAAAAGGAATTTTGACTAAAAACACATTTTTTTCAAGAATTTAAATCTTTGAATTCCTTACAAATTTCTATTCTAACTGCCACAAAAGTAGATAAAAATATTATAAAAAGGAACCTCGTGTCATTGCGAGGCAAAATGACTAGAGTATAAAGAAGACAGTAAAGACGTGGGTGGGATCCGAATTATTTAATTAAATTAAAAAACCCAAACTATATAAATAATAGAATGTGCTGACAGTGAATCAAAATGATCCAATAATTTTCAAAAGACAAGCTATATAAATAATTAATGTGAAGTCAAATACGCACCTTCCGAGTAACTTCAGAACTCAACCGTTGTTTAATGCTGAAAATTGAATATTTGTTAAGAAATGGCTGTGGCAGATCAAGAACGTGATTTTGTTTTTATTCTAATCTCATATTTTTAAATTGCAAAATGATGGTTTTGGGTTGAATTATTAGTCGTCGAGAAATCTGGGTGCTGCGTGAGATGGGTTTGGCGGGCGAGAGATTATCCATGTAAGAGCATCTCCAATGGAGAAGCCAAATGGATAGCCAAAAATAAAAAATTAATATTTTAGTTTTTTTTGCTTGTTTTACACATTCCAATGGAGAAGTCAAACAAAATGCTAAAATACTTTTTCTCTCCCACAAATGCTATTTCTACATATCTCTTTAAAGAGCCAAAACCAACAAAGTGGGACCACTAAAAAAATAAACCAATTAAATGTAGATATATAGAAAAAAAATAGCATTAAACAATATTAAGAAATAATAAAACACTTATTTTTTTCACTCTAATATAAATGGCTCTTCAAATGACTTTTTTCCATTGAAATAGATATAGTAAGATAAGCTATATTTATACTATTTAAAATGTTATTTTATCAATTTAGCTTTTTAAAATAACATTTTGGACCATATCTATACCTTTATATTGTTGAAAGCGGAATGGTATGTTCTCCCTATGAAATCACAGCTGATAATTTAGACCCTCCCAGTCCTTGCATGGATCAATAATAATAATAATAATAATAATAATAATAATATTGATAATAATAATAATAATAATTCAGTTTGAAAAATCACATCCCAGAACAAGAACCAATACTCCAAGTTGCAAGCTAATGGATGGCGTGTCAAAACAGAGTGAGATGGCCAAGAACGTACAGCCACATGCAACTAATTAATATCCACTTTTTTCAAACATTTGAAATTGAACAATCTTTATTATATTACATGGTCTTGGTGCTTGATTCAAAAGTTTCCCTGCTTCCTGTTTCGGTATATATATTCTAGCCGTGAGTGAGATTTTTTTTTCCAAAAAAAAAATGTATATATATGTGTATAAACTTTTTCAACGTATTCTTGTAATTAAAAAAATTCAAAATAAAAATTAAAAAAATTATATATGTATATATAATTAAAAAATTAAAAATTATGTATCTTAATAAATTAAAAAAA